CTTCCGGTGTCGACGCTCGCCGCGCGCCAGCAGACTGACGGCCTGACGCGGCTCCATGGAGTACTGGCGCGCCGCTGCATGCTGCCACGGTGCTCAAAGTGTTGAATCACGACGTTGCGCCGATGCACACGAGCTCTGACGTGATAAACAAGGCCTTTCCATGCCTATGACTACATTTACTTGGTAACATGCATTTCCAGTAAAGCAACTGTAAGCGGTCACGCTCTTTGGAGTCATCAATATGAAAATGGAGCGCATGCACCGAGTTCATGCCGAAATATTGTCACGGATGGCCGACACGCGTCGTCGGTCTGTCAGGTTTACAGCTCACGCGGGCGTCCTGCGACCGCTCGGTGCCCGGGACTGCTGCAGCGCCGGACGGGTGTGTCCGGGGCGGGCATCCCGGCTGACGCTGGGCTACCCCGTGCACACGCTTCAAGTAGGGGGAGAGCTTTCTGGGAACGTAGCGTGAGTAGCCGCGGCCGGCCGTGCACGAGAAGTGTGACGAGCGATCGTGGCTGTGTGGGTGGCAGATCACCGGGCGAAGCAGTAATAACTACTGGTCGGGTAGTAACGCGAGTGGCGGAGCACCTCGCAGAGCGGTAGCAACTGCTGTTCGGGTGGCGGCACTGCGCAGGAGCAGTAGCAATTGTTGGTCGGGTGACGGAGCACTGCGCAGGAGCAGTAGCAACTGTTGGTCGGGTGGCGGAGCACTGCGCAGGAGCGTAGCAATTGTTGGTCGGGTGACGGAGCACTGCGCAGGAGCGGTAGCAATTGTTGGTCGGGTGACGGAGCACTGCGCAGGAGCAGTAGCAATTGTTGGTCGGATGACGGAGCACCGGACAGGAGCAGTAGTAACTAGAAGACCAAGAGTTCCAGAGCTGGCCCCCGTTAGATGCCGAGAGGGTTCAGCAGCGGCCGCGAAGTCACATGCTCGTCAGATGAAGTCTGCACACGAACTTGCTTATATTGTTTTGTCAGGAAGCTGTTAAACCAGCGCTCGTCTACTCAATTATGCCTGGAGCTTGTGTAGAAGGTGGTCGTGCGGAAAAATATCGAAACATTTGGACAAATTTAACAGACAGATCAGTTGACTCTGCTCTGGTCCATAGCAGCTGGCAAAATTGTCCGCGAAAGAAAGCAGCACAGCATCATGTGAGCGATTAAATCTTAACCTACGCTGCTTAAACGGGGGCAGGTGGTGCGTTGCAGGTGTTGGGCTTGTGAAATGCTCTACGAGGCATAGCACGGAGAGGTACAAATTGGTACGTTTCAATCACGGTTTGTAGGGCCTCTTATAGAGAAACCCTGATGTTTGGGCGTTGGTAACTCAGAGCCATGGAAAGCAGATGCTGAGGTGTTGCATTTTCTGAATCAGTGTGACGAGAAAATGTTTATATAATACTGTGGTCCACGTCGAGCCACTGTGCAGCGTGACCTAACCTGCCCCATGGGACTGGTTTGCATCAGCATTAGATGCCTCGCATTGCGTTCGCTGACGTGATTCACTGCGAGTGACATAGCGACCTTACATCGGCCTGTTTCTGAACCTCGCGGCAGTATCAGTCTGTGATCCATACTGTAGAGTGGGAATCAGGCTAGTAGGAATCTAGTGGGATCCTCCAGTGGCAGTAGTTCCGCAGAAATGCGCTGAGGGCTGAACGGCAAAAACAGCACAACCAGCCCTGAAATACGCCAGCGAGTGGGCTTTTCCCGGATTCGGCCAGCTTTTTTCTCAAAATTTGGGGAGCCTCTCTTATTTGACAGGATTATACATCCATGTAATCCCGTCTTATAACAGCCGTTTTCGCGATGGATTAATGCACTGAGAAGTTTTGAAAGTATTTCTTAATTTTGACAGGAACATACGCCCCTGGAATCCTCTCCTATACTAGGCGTTTTCGCGATGGATTAATGCATTGAGAAGTTTTGAAAGTATTCCTCAATCTGTTTTATGAAGTCGTAGTACATACTTGACACTCTGACAAGGACCAGATCGTTTTCGCGCAATTCCGTAAACATGCGATAAGTAAACCACATGCATTCAGCCGAGAATTGTTTTTTATATTTAACGAGACTATAGACATTTTTTCAGCCCACGCTTTTAGTTCATCCGAATTCTCGGAAAATGCTAAGCCTGGCAATCAGCAATGTGCATCGGTCGAGGGCGTTGGATGCCGGCTGTTCCACTATTGCTTACATCGGTGCTGTGTGAAGCAAGGCGGTCTTTGAGGATCATTTCATTCAAGGATTATTCATCTTGGATCATGTTAAGGTATGTAAGCCCTTTGTCACACCGTTGGACCTGTCCGCTGCTGGACGTGCTCGAGCCAGGCAGTGCGGCGGCCCCCACTGGTGTACCCTGGGCACGTAATCCCACAACAGCTGGGCAGCTCTTCAAGCAGCGCTGCAGTTGAACGCGGCGATCTGGTTCGCAGCAGCGACCTTTAGGGGGCAATCTGAGACTGATGTGTGATCTCTGCTGTTTTCATGGCACTGCTCTGGGCTGCTTTGAAATGGAACGCCTGGTTCTGTGGTGCTGTTTTTAGATCGGCGTTGTAATGGCTATAATTCTTTCGCAAATGCGCTGCACTCAGATTAGCTGGAAATTTTGCTGAAACTTTTCAATAATAGATACATGCACAGATACGAATACCTACATCACGAATCAAATCAACTTTTGATCATATACAACCGAATGCAACACTCATGATTATCTCGCATGAATCCTCAGAATACCATGCGTTGTCGAAAAATGTAATATACTTCAGAAGTGTAGGCAAAATTAGTAAAATAAGGTTCAGTAAAAATACAAAAAGACAAGACAAGTGGCTTTCTCGAAAGACGGTGGGGCAAACCCCGTGATTTTCCAGGATGCAACTCCTTGGGGAGCAGCTCTTTATCAGCAGATGACTTCGTCAATCCGTCTGCCTCCCCTCCGTCCCCCCCCCCCCCTTCTTCATCCTGGCCAAGAGTTGGACTGCGCCCCTGTGCTGCTGAAAGTATTGGTCCGATGTCGTCGATAGTTATTGTTCATGGTGAAGACAGATATCTGGTTACGCGATAGTGAGTTTTTTAATGCGTTGGTGCAATTTAGCATAGCGAGATTGGACGGGTTCGGGAAGAAGCCCAGGCTGCAGCAGTAACACCTACACGATAAGTTACGAGGCACTGGTACTTATCGGTGCTGTGAGGCGTATTCAATTACGTGGTTTGTGCGGTCCTGGGCAGGCTCGCCACCTGGTCTATATCCATATGTGCGACGCAGAAGATACTCCGGTTGCCAGGGGCAACGACGGGCTGGGAAGTTCTCCTGGCGCGGCGATCGAGTCGGGCAAACGCGGCGAGACAGGGGTGGCAGGTTCGGAGGATAAGGGGGAGAGGTCCTGGGTAGAAGAGAGGCCACTGTTCGCAAAGACGTGCAAGATTTTGCTTGGCTTGTGGAAATATTTGCAATAGTACCAGTCGTTGTGTACGCCAGACACCAGTCCGCTGTGTAATGCCTGTCACGCGCCTGCCCGCGCAGAGCCGCGGAAGCGGCTGGCGGTTTTATGCAGGCTCGGGCTTATTCCTGTAGGGTTTGCTTTAATTTGGTCTGTGCAGAGTCGGGTTTCTTTCGGCCAGTTTCGTTTCATTCGGGTGTTTACAGATTCGGCCGCGGAAGATATGAAGCTCAACAATGGTGCCCGATTGCGTAAGACAGCGGAGGAAATGAGGCCACGGCCGTTAGCACTGCCTCTTTCACACAAGGACGGAGCTTTTTTACCCAGGCGGACGCAAGCGGGACTATTTGTGGACGTCATGAAATGTGGACATTGTGAACTGTGCACATTGTGAACTGTGGACATCGGTAACAGAGACATTATGAATTGTACGCACTCTGACTAGATATTGCAAAATTTGGACATCAACAGTGGACATCATGATCTGCAAACACCATGAACGGTGGACATCGTGAGCGTCCCCCATTTTTATTAAACCAGCTTTCGCTGAAGCACGGCACCACACAGTTACGCTGTTGGTCCGTCCCTACATTCGGCGCCGGAGGCGTCTGTCTCTCCGAAATTTCTGGACCTTTCCACTAGCGTTTTTTTTTCAATTCCATACTGATATCTTCCAATGCCCATGGTACATATCTTTCGTTTAACTATTTGCTTATTCTCCGCGCTGCAATACTTGGCACCAATTTGGTCTGGACATGGGTGCAATGGGGCGTCCTTTTTACGCGCATGGCTCATACCTTCCACGATATGCATAAAAAACACATCGTACAAATAACGTTTATATAGCTATTCTATTTCGATTGCGGGCATATGCTCATTCTAAAAGCCTTGCAAACCTCTTTCCTTCCTAGAAATAACATAACTGGAGATCCTGCTCCGGCCTCCTCCACTCTTTCATCATCCACTTCCCACGTTGTCTTCGAAGCACTCAGCCACCGAGCGCCATCTCGCCACGAGGTGCAGCTTGTCGTGAACAAGAGCAGCACGTAACCAGCGGGATGCGCGGAACGCAGCCTCGTTCTGGCGGCGGCCGCTCGGGTCGGCATGACGACCGAGTCGAAGGCGCTCTAACATCCGACGAGGCCGAGAGCCGGCCTCTCCACGGTCGATCGCCGCCTATTTCTAGTCGTCGCCTGGATCGGGACGCCGAATTATGGCTGCCTGTGCCGTGTAATTGGCCATTGATCTGCGCTGGCCGCGACCGCGGTCCGCCAGTGTCCGTCGGAGCGTGCCGGCCGGCAGAGCGCGTGTACGTCGTCGGAGGCGCGTCGGCGTCGCCGCGGCGGCAGCACGTCGACCTTCGGGGTGCCGAGCCGCCCCGGCGTGCGGCCGGCCGCGCGGCTGCTCCTGCCGGTGCGGGGCGCCTCCGCCATGCCGCTGCACCAGCCGCACCTGTCGCCTCGACGTGGGGCCGGCTGCTGCGGCCGCGGCCGCTTGAACGAGGCCAACTGCCGCGTCCTGCTGCTGGGCGCCGTGCTGCTGCTCTACCTGCTGGCCGGCGCCGCGCTCTTCCGCTGGGCCGAGCGTGACCACGAGCTGCGGTCGCAGCGCACCTACGCCCACCTGTTCGAGGATTTCCGGCGCAACCTGACCATGGGCGGCGCGCCAACCTTGGCCGACCTCGACCGGCTGCTGGACGCGCACTTAATAGCCAACCGGCTAGGCCTGCTGCACCACCGACCCCAGTGGGACTTCTCGGGCAGCTTCCACTTCTCCTGCACGGTCGTCTCCACCATCGGTGAGTAGGAAGGTGTGGGACTGTGGTGCCCACCATCGGTGAGTGGGAAGGTGTGAGGCTGTGGTGTCCACCATCGGTGAGTGGGAAGGTGTCGGGCTGTGATGTCCACAATCGGTGAGTGAGAAGGTGTGGAGATGTGGTGTCCACCATCGGTGAGTGGGAAGGTGTGGGGCTGTGGTGTCCACCATCGGTGAGTGGGAAGGTGTGGGGCTGTGGTGTCCACCATCGGCGAAGGGAAGGTGTCGGGCTGTAATGGCCACCATCGGTGAGTGGAGCTGTGATATCAGCCATTTCGCGAGCGGGGAGGTGTCTGGCTGCGGTCTTTGCCATTTGTGATAACTTGATGTAAAATATAACGGTATGGCTCCGGGCAGACTTGGATTCACGAATCTGTCTAGGCTGCGCCAGGAAAGCTCCAAGCCACATGAGCTAGGGTCAGATTACACTTAAAACTTGGTCGGCGAAAAAGGACCGCCTCGGCCTATGGAAGCCTCAGAGATCCCTAACGTGTTTCCGGAATGACTTCAGACCGGTGTTGGTCACGCCGCTGAAAATTTTACAAGCTGAGCTTACATCATTTTCATGTGTGAGAATCGAACAAACTCTGATCTTGAGGGTTCATGGTCTATGACTTGCTCCTGAGCATACGTTTTGGTGACATTTTGCTGTAAAGTGATCAGAAAGTTTATTTCTTGCAGAAAATGCGCTCCTAGCAGGTTCTGTAGAATAATTTCTTTAATTTCATCGATCTGAAGCCGTAATATTGTTCCAGCTGCTGTTGGATGGCCCGTTCATCTAAGGCCAAGTTAGGTTGACGTTTAAACTTTATGGCTGGATTTGGCATTTTGAGTGATATACGATAAAAACCCCAGTGGCACGCAATTGAGTGTTTGAAAGCACTCTCTAACACCATTTTCCATATTCTCGTGGCTTGGTCGGTTTTTGATGCAGCCGAATGGCTCGACGCCAAGAAAGCTTTCACTCTGGACCTGACGTGACATGCCACAGGTCGGTCTTCACGATTGCCCACCTGATTCCAAGAGCTATTCAATGCCGTTTCGGTATTGTCATTGTGTACTTTGTCCGTCCCGATGGGTCAGTGTGTTACAGCGCATCCCTTCCGATCCACCCACCCGTGGCGAGCTGGGTTTGGATCGCTTTTGGGTGCTTGGTAATTTGTCTTTGATGGGTATGGCCTGCGGCCGGTGGTAGCGGCCGCGCTAAAGATCAGGAGACGTCACGGCGCAGGACGGACCGCGCCGAACAATACGGCACGTTTAACGTTTGCCGCTAAAGTCCACTGTTGACCTGGAATTACGTGATCGGATGGTAGGGGTCAGGGCTCACACAAGCACTGCTTAGCGTGAGCGCTGATCCCAGAAATCCATCCATTCAAAACGTTTGCATCAAATCTTAAGAAAACTTAGTTCTTGAGATCATATGAGGTCTGTGATGGTGGTCTGTGATAGTGGTCAAGTCGTAATTTAATCCCTTTGTCTTAATTTGACCTGCCGATGGTTCCACTCATCATGGTTTACTGATGACTACCCGGTCGCAGTTGCCAGGAGATTTCTGATGTTGCTTTCCACGTAGATGAATGTTGTTGAGTTTTTAAGATATTATAGCCTCCGGAGGCTCTTGCAAACTCTGAGGTGGTGAACTTCACACACCAGGTTAACTGATGGGTGTCCATAATAATTGGGTACAAGGTTGGGCTGTATAGGGATCTTTTTTTACAAATACGGGTATGATAGATGCCCGTATTTTTACAAATACGGGTATATGAAACTCTGACTACGGGCTAGAGTTGTACGAAACGCTGCGCAGATTCTTCCAGAAATAGCACACAATGCTACTGCTTGGGTTTTGCAATTATCAACGCATGTGTACTTTCATGAAACCTACCCATAACTTCTAACACAAGTGCTAAGGAAAATGCAGGCGGATGGGTAACAGGTTGGTGAAGCTCATTAGGAATCGTTAGCCGGTGGGTATGAGCACAGCTCCATGGGTGCCTAGCCAGCGATTTCGGTTCAATTCCGACCGTTCCCAAACTTTGTCGGTTGGTATTGTTCGAGACAGATTCCGCAAGTGAGCGTCTTTAGTTGGGATTTACCCGCATTGCTTTGGACCATTGCCAAGTTTCCGCAAGCGGCCGGTTGGGCCATCCTGCGGCTTTCCCGAGTCGACTAAAACGATTCGCATCAATAGAATTCTGATCCTAATTTTACATCAAGAGAAGTCCGATTCCGTTCAGGCTTTTTCTGCCTTTTCTCAGCCGACTGGTCGGGGAGTCCCAAGTGTTCCCCACGCTGCCTACTAATGGCACGCGGTCAATCTTCAGTCTGTTCCAATGGCGAATATGCATTGAGAAGTGTCTGATCCCGATCGGGGTCTACTAGTCGTTCTCCATGAAGAAGCCTCGGGAAAATCCCAGGTTTCCCCAATCGATGGCCAGTAGCAGCTGACTCGACCGAGGAAACCTGTGGCAACCCACCGCGTTTCCCGAGCCGATCGGGGAAGCTTGAGACTTCTCAAAGCCTTTCCCAGCCTTGCCCATCCTTTCCCGACCTTTCCCCAAGCAAGTTTCTGGCCGTGTAGTGGGTGAGTTCGGCAGATGAAATCTTACTCGTAAAGGCCTGTTCTCTGCGACCTTCCTCGAAATGTGAAGGTGAAACAGGTTCGTGGGACGATGATGAAATCCTGGCGAAAGTTGTGTCGCCGGTCTTAAAAGAAAAAATACAAGCGCCTGAATCTGTATTGATTATCTTACCCCTTTCCGCTCTTCCATCGGTGTGTACGTCGCCACCAATCTCAGAAACGACTGCATCAGCACGTTGCCGTTTGGCGCACGGGTGCATTCGAACGTCTGAGGCGTTGTTAGACCACAGTGAGTGTCGACAGGCACCCTTCCCACGCATTCGCGCTGCCGTTCCCTCACGCTGCGTTGGAGATGGCGATACACCGCAGAGACGATTCGGTAGTCCGTCTCGTGCAGGTCGATGTGCTGGTGTTCATGCTGAAGAGCTTGTATTTCCAAAGGATCGGTTCAACGTAAAGCAGGCGAGAGTGCAAACGAAAAATTTACGAGCAGCATCGTCAGCCCAGGCCCGCCCAATTATCTATATCATCGGCAGAACAACCGGCAAGCAGGGGCGTGCTCACGATTTCATAAAAGTGGGGATGGCACAACTCAAAGCTGTTCGCTGAAAACGAAGCGAGGCACGTCGCTGGCTTGCGCAATTTTTTCCATATCGCTAAACAACGTCGTATGTTCTCGACCTTCATATTTTTACGAGCCTACCTGGAATTTTTAATTACCATCATTTAGTCATGTGCATATGAAATAGCATGTCATAAATTTGTTAAGAGGGGGCAAGTGCCCCTAGGGACTCTTATGCGCCTACGTCCCTGTCGGTGAGATTCAGCTCGTACCGGTACTGCCGGCGGTTTTCGATGCATCCATGTAGGGGCCGACGGCTTCCAGCACCATTCGACATGGCGAATCCTGGCACGATGTAGTACCGCTTATGCTAACTCTAGTACCGGCTGCCAGTACTGCGGTACCTAAAAAGCCAGCACATCATGACTGAGAAGCATCTCGAATCGGGCGTGGCGCCGGTTCAACAGGCCCAAAATTCACTGTCCTGGGCTGTCGAGATACAAAAGCATCTAAAAACCAGCCGCGGAACAATCGTAGCCTGTTGACCTAGTAACGCAGGCAGGGGGCACAGGTGGCACGTGCCCCCCTTCTTTAGGTTTTGAGGGGCCCTAAGGGCCCTCGGAACCTGCGATTAAGGGCCCGAAAGGCCAGCCGGGGTTCGCACTCAGGGGCTTTTGCTCGCGGGGCCGAGCACTCCAATGCGAGCCAGAAGGCCTCGCGCGCTGATCAGGGGCCCCCTGAGTCTATAAGCGCCTATATGTTGGTCAGACACCACCAGTATGCAGAGTCGGCTGAGTGGCGGCACGGCCCTTATGGTCAATTTCGCAGGCATGAAGAAACCCGGAGCCAGCGAGCTACATTGGTCGAGGCCCCACAGCTCCTTATGGGAGCCTTGTGTTGGCAAGGGGCTCCTGGGTCCGGCCATGGGAAGTATTTGATGAAGCCTGAAGATGGGCCCGGGCGGCCCACTGGAGCCGACCACCAAAGGCCCGTTTGGAGGGCATAAGGGCCCGAAGGACTGGTTGTAGGTTACATAAAGAATCACGACTCGCATGGACGTGACCAGCAATATTAGTCTTAGGTCCTCTTTCACCTTTTGAGGAACCCTGAGACAGTGCGGGGTTCTAAGTCGGCCAAAGACCACGAACACCGAACAGCCGGCTCATACCCGTCTGAGCCCTTGAGACCCATGTCCCAAGCAGGAACCATGCCGGGGCCCGTGATTTACAAGGTTTGGGGTCCCTGACACGATGCGAAGCTCCTGTATCCGTCAGGGGCTACAGTGCCCAACCAGAGGTCCTGTGGTGGCAAGTGACTCCGAGTCGGAGCGGTGTTTAGGGGGCCCGAAGAGGGACGAAGAGTCTCTCAAGGCCAAAGATCAAGGGCCCGATTGGAAGCCTGAAAGGTCCGAAGAGCTGACTGTAAGTCACATTAAGGACCCCCGCTCATAGGTTTGTGATCTTAAATGTCAGGAAGAGGGCCTCTTGCACCGAAGGGAACCCTTAAGACGAAGCGTTCCCTTATTTCGGCCAGAGATCACCAACAACGAACAGTCGGCTCCGAGTTGGTCTGAGCTCTGGGGGTTCATTTTCCCAAGCAGGGACAAGGCCGGGCCCACAATTTATATTGGTCGGGCTCCTGTATCGTTCAGAGGTGCGCAGTGCCTAATAGGGTGTTTTGTGTCAACAAGGGGCCTCCAATGGGTCGGGGAAACATTTTCCCAGCGAGGACGGGGATGGGAGCCTGAATGACAGACGGCCACTTAAGTTGGTCGGGGCTCGCTCGCAATGAAAGGAAACGCGAAAACTTATCAAGAGTGCTCCCATTGAGACAATGC